GCCGGTACGACGGTTCGTTTTTACTGATAGGTTCCAGAGCAACAGGAGGAAGTACCGCGAGTTATCGCGAGGTGGTGCAAGTATGTACAAGCATAAACTATTTTAGTGCTCCTGGGCTTCCACGCCAGCAGTATTGCGGCTTTTGGGTTTGCAGTTTGCTGCCTTATAGTTTGGTGCTGTTCGTAGGTCACTTGATGTGTAATTTTGTATATATCTATATCGATTTGAAGAACTCCGATGGCCCACCAGATACTACTGCGGGGAACAGAGAGTGGGGGAAACCGAAACGATCTGACGGACTGCATATCGGTCTTGTTGGCAGGGGGGGCACGTTTCTGCGCTTTTAACACCAAGGCAAAACGTTCTCCGTGTTTTCCGTACGAAAATGACAGGTCTATGGGCTACTCGTGCACGCGTCACAACCGCAAAGGTTTCGACGTTGACGACATCCGACACATCACAGCGAAACACTTCTACGGCAGGAGAAGAGCTCACCACCCACTTTTAGAGGTAGTCGAGACCTTTGTACCCTCCTCGAAGGACAACGGAACTTCTGTGCCTGTTGACGATATACCGTGCAACCTGCTCGTGAACCGTAAGATACAATCCCCGTCTTTCATCGAGACATGTGTGCAGAATTCGGGCGGCAAAGTGCTCAGAGCCGAAGAAGCAGAGCCAAACGGATTGAGCAGCAACCACCTTTGTTCGGTGCCAACAGAGCCGGCAGGCAACGCGTTGAGTACGAGCATGCACGGTAGACTCGCTCGAAGCTCCCCTTTCTTTGGTTTTGATGGCCTGTTGGGGGCTAGGACCAGCAACCGCAAAGTTTACGTGAACGACGTTGTCATGGTAACCATGAGCGACGGAAACACAGTTCCAGTTTGGCTGCTGGAATGGTATTGGGATATGGAGCAGGCTACGTTGTTGGTTGCCGTCCGACGTTTCCGGATCCGGAATGAGGTTCGCGACGTAGAAGGTGGTGAGAGAATCGAGGGACTTGTACGTGTGTGGGAGGAGAAAGGCACGAGTTCCAAGGTTATTTTGCACAGTACGACGATCCAGGACCTCTGCGAAATATACACGCGCGAAGAGGTGTCCAGATAGATGCATCTCGAAGATGAGTGGGAAGGGGGCGTTCGTTGGGCTGATTGGGATGCTTTCGTAGGGGAGGGCGTTGTCGTGAAGCGGCAGAAACGAAGAAGGCAAGGATACAGTTTCCGGAGCCCGCCTCCCTTCGTGACGTAGTCAGCTACAGGGAAGACACCGTTGATGAGCCCCTGTTTGGCATCCGAAAGAAGGGATTCCGGTGCAACACGAAAAACCTCGCCTTCGCGAGCATCTCGCTCTGTGTCTTCAACGATGCTTTTAACGGATGGTCAATGTCCATCAAGGTATGTATGTGGAACCGGTGTGATTCTTCACCTTAAACATACAGCAGTACGACATCTCCCGCTCCCCGCGCGTCCAGCGCTAGCTCCCTTGGTAAATACGATCCAACTCCGGCGAGAAGAACCGGTGGCGTGCTCAGGCGCGCGTCTTATGGTAGAATTGAGAGGCCAGATAGTATTACGGCTCTACATGATAGATTACTATACACCGCCCCGTGGCATCTCAAACCAGCGTTTCGATTTTTCCACGACTACGGTGAGAATTGGGATCATGCATATATACTTCGGATTTGTCAGGGAGTTGCATGCTTACAACGACTGAGTTCCTGTTCGTTCGTCGCTGCCCCACAACGTAAAAGCTGCTGCTGCTTCTGCTGCTGCAACGAGTAAACAACGAGCTAACATACCTTCCCTACTGCCTCCTACATATACGCTGCTCGGAAGCACTCTGTGGGGGCCACCTATTTCGGGTGGGGGTGGGCGAGAATCAGGTGCAACGTAGGCGTTCCGAGACACTCCTCGGCACCATCGCTTCGCCAGGGGCATGCGTCGAGGGGGAGATCTCGCTAGAGGCAAGTGTTATGTGCGAGCTACAGCGAGGCTGTGAGGCGACAGCAAGAGTTAGTGCAGCGGATGGACGAGTGCTCGACGTCGAGGCAAGTGCTGTGGGTTGACATTTGGCATAAATCAAATTATTGTGGTGGAGAGAATTTGTGTGTTTTTGTAAAGCATTTATCGCATTATTATGCGAAGACGTTCTTTGTCCCCTCGTCGATGAACTCAAGTGCCTGTTTTTCTCGTGGATCAAATGCTTTTCGTGGACAAGGTTGGTGGTGTTGTTTGCAAAGTATTTATCGCACTTTGACGCAATGACGCTCCTTTGTCGCCTCGTTGGAACACTAAGAAGGTGTCTATTTCTCTCGTCGATATAGTTCGCTTTGTGTGCCACGATTCAACCCTCTCTGTTGCACGTTTCCCCGCTGAAACAACCAGATATATATGTTGTGACATGGTGTGACATGGCTTTTTTTTGTCGTAATGTATCTCAGATTTTTCTACGCGGGGGTCCACTCACGTGGGTGTCAGACTCCCCACAAAGAGCGAAGCTCCTGTACTGCGAGCACCCCAGCAATTCCACCAAGCTATCGTGCCCGTATTGCAAGGCCGAACAAGACGAACATCTTCCAACTTGCGGCGACCTCGGGAACGCAAGGTACGACGTTGAGGCAAATAGGCGGACGTGGGGGGAAGCCCAAGATGGTTGACGCGAGTTGCAGGCATTGGACTTGGCCCCGAACGAGCAGACGAAGCGCTCGGCGGAACTAGGAATCGTGGCGCCTACGGGGGTTAGCGGCGGTGTCCTCGGACGCCCGCTGTGGGACAAGGTGTTTATTTACCCTGCACGGCACGTTCCCGTCGAGAGTCTTCATGCCGATGCGCTGGTGAGTCGTTTTGTCTTTCAGGCCCTACCCAACAGTCACAGTTTTTTCTCTTTCTTTCTCACATTAGTTCTCCATTCTAAAACATCCATGGAAACCCGTGGTCACAACACTAGGTACTCCACGCCGCAAAGGAACAGCAAAAATATGGTACATGGGCGCCACACGACACTAAAACTGGGCCCCGAGGGGGTCTTGCGTGATCGCCGACGCTAAATCAAGGACTACTCGAAAATAACCAGGGTATTCCTCGGGAATTTTCCCGACGTCATTTAGGCGGGAATTTTGGCGGTCCCGGTACTGGCCGGCATTCCCGCCATATTCGCTGGTACCGGGAACCGCCGAAGGTGTTCCCGCCGAAAAAAAAAACACCGCTTCCTGCCTGAAAATTCCCGCCATATCGCAAACCGCCAACATTGGTACCGCCGGATTTTCACGTTCCCGGGACCGCCAAAAAAACCCCGCCATATTGTAGTACCGCCGAAATAGTACCGCCATATTGCAGTACCGCCAGAATGGTACCGCCATGTCCTAGTACCGCCAAACTGGTACCACCAACGGGTCGGCAGTCCAGTTGTTACTATCAAAAACCGGTTGAACGGGAAGAACTGGGGTTCGATTCCCACCCACGACAAATTTTTTTGGTTTCGGTTCAAGTGCCTTTTCGGTAGAACTTTTTTTATGTGTTGGCGCAGACGCGCAGACGTGCGAAACACACCTGCCCACAGCGCAGCGGGCGTGTGGTCCAGCAGAGCAATGAGTGCTTCAGAGGCCATTGTCAGTACCACTTCTAGTGGTGTAGAGGCTGGGTCTGCCGAATCGTTGGTGTCTTCTTCGGGCGACGCAGCGGACGCGGGCGACTCGGTGAATGCGAGCGATCAATCAGTGGCTCCCAGCCACTCGGCCTCGGTGGTGTTGCAGTCACCCACCGAGGCTGAAGCCACGGTTGACACCGGCCGCGGCAAGCAAGTGACAGTCACACTCGAGCCTCCAGAACACGGGAAGAGGGCGTTGACGGGGTGGTGTTGGATGTTGGTGAGTAGTTTCTCTCCGACCATCAACGAGAAGAACGTCTTTTGCTTGGCGAAGAAGAAGGACGGCACAACATGCAAGCATCTGATGAAGTGGACTCCATCGGAAGGCGGCAAGAAAGGATCGGGAACGACTGGCCTGAACAAGCACCCCGAACCAATCGTAGTAGACGCATATATTCATTTTTCTGTGTTGTCGTCCATGAAGCTCATCGGGGTATTGTGCAGTATGCTTTCTTGTGGCGGTGTCTATGGTCTTTCCCCTTTGCGCGTGTGGTGTGCAAGTTTTCTGTTACCACCATGATGTGAGCCGCCCGTGTAAGTACCGCCGGATTTTCGTGGTACCCGGACCGCCGAAAACGTTCCCGTCAAAATGCGAACCGCCGGAGAAAGTACCGCCGTATTCGCTGGTACCGGGAACCGCCGAAAGCGTTCTCGCCAAAAAGCGAACCGCCGGAGAAAGTACCGCCATATTCGCTGGTACCCGGAACCGCCGAAGGCGTTCCCTCCGTAAAAACGAAAACCACTTCCCGCCTAAACATTCCCGCCATATCGCGGTACCGCCAAAATTGTTACCGCCCAAAAAACGGTACCGAGGAGTACCCTGAAAATAACAGGGCCTGCGAAATGGAAGAAGTAGAGGAGACTAACTTCAGGCCTAAAAAATAGGCTTCCCACACCCGGCCACAATGCCGGAAGGTCCCATTCTGGCATCGTGTTTGTTATTGTTTGTTTTCGTTGTGAAACTCATCCAATGGGGCACAGAATGCATGTATTTGTCCTGACATCCTCGCGTCCAAAAGTAGACAGCGTTGTGGGAACATGTAAGTTTGACGCATATATGTGGGCACATGTAATGTGATTTGTGTCAGCGGCCTGAATGTTGTGTCTCGTGGGAAACCTCATCTGATTGTAACACCGTGCAAGCACCCCTTGAAAACATAGCGAGATTGCAGTATAATATGAATGCACATCATGTTGATTTCCCCAATGCGCCCCCGCCTTTTTGTGTTCGACCTGTACTTACTACACTGTTTACCGCAGGGGGCGCAGGCGATGTTGCAGTTTTTTTTTCTGGCCTTCCTGAACGAAACTGGCCGGGGGGTGATCTCCTCCATCGTAGCAGCACGCTGTACCCACCAGCTACAGCACCATTGAAAGACGTATGCACCAACTATTCCTCCCTGAAGGGAACTGACAAATGGCTATTATTGGGATCGATCCTGCTTCTTGTGTCCCGCTGTGTCCTCCATGACGCGACAGCACTGGTAATATTGTTGTCTATTGCCTACACGTGAGGGCGCGGGTTGTTTTGCGGGTTCATGCGATATGCCATGGTTCTCGTCAAAATACTGCTTACCAGTTAACGATTACAATGTTATGCCCGCGGCCCCCTGCAAATATACGATAGTATCGACGGGTGCGTTATGGTGAGCTACCGCAAGGTTGCGGAGATAATGTGGACAGCGACCGAGATCCAAGCACAATTTTTTTGTGCACCTTTTCGCGTCCATCTTGCACAGAAAGAGTACGTGAAGCCGCGAGAGCTACAAGCCTTGAAAGACACGTGGGGAGGAGAGCAGGCCGTGTTGGCGCAACTGCGGAAGCTGTTGCAAGTGGCGTCTGCACTGACATTCGCAGTTCGTTCGCCGTCCTTCGATAAGGCTGAACGCAAGAAGCTCATGGAGCATGCCCGGGACACGGTGAGGGCCTTCAGAGACAATTTTCGTACCGTGCCTGACAGATTGCCGTGCCAGTTGTCTACCCAGCTTTGACCTTAGCCCATCGTCCTTGCTACAATATATATACCAGAGAATGCCTAGGCTTGACACTTCGGAATCCCGATTGAAATTATTGTTTCCTTTTTCGCATGGAGGCCTCACACCTCCGCCCCGAACAATATCTCGTTGATTTGTTACCGCTTGTTCTTCAACACCCTTTGCTTTGGTGGAACTTTCGGATTTCTCAAAAGCTCGAACAAACGTTATATCCCCACGCACTTCTTGGCGATTTCCTCGCGGCGTCTCTTGTAACCATTCCTCCTCCGAAAATTTGCGCATTCATGTTTGTTGCACCACCCCCCCTCCCATGGACTAAATAAGGGCGGCGGTAGATCACAAAAATATGATTTCAACATCGTCCTCCCAGGTCCGGGTGTACGACAAATAAAATATAAACCCAAAGTGTCTGCTGGTTCATAGTCCTGGCGCCAGCAACAAGCGCATTTCTCATCATGTCATTCAAGTGAGGATCACTTTTATTGCAAAATGGCCTTCCCTTGTTTTTTTGGGGGGGGTGTTGTGGTGCAGGTGGGGGTGTATGCGGAATTGTTAGGGAGGGGAGGCGTGAGGACAACCGTGCACTCTGCTCTGCACTACGTCCAGGCCTATGAAGATCATGGAGAGTTGAGAGAATGTATGAAGAAGTTGCTCTCAGGTTCTTGAGACTGTCCGAGTAGAACGACCCGCCTTATTCTATTTTCTTGTACGTGCAATGTTATTTGATCGCCGATCTGTGTGGAACGCCGATCCCCCCCCCCTTTTTGCGTTTCTCCTATGTGATGCGGTGGGGATATTTTGTGTTGTATCCGTACATATACGCGTTGGCAGGCCACATGCCTGATGCCAGCACGGGCGAAGCTGCGCACCAAAGGGACAAGAAGGTCAACCATTCTAACAGCGGCCGCAACGCCGCGGCGCACTTCGCGCGCCGGTTCAACATGGACCTCGCCATCGATGCTCTTGCTGAAGAAACTCCGCGGCAGGTCACCAGATTTGACCGCAGGTTGAAGAAATATGTAATGGAGACCGTCAAGGCTGGCTCCGGCTGCTCTGCGGTGCTGCGGTCGTTNGGACAAGAAGGTCAACCATTCTAACAGCGGCCGCAACGCCGCGGCGCACTTCGCGCGCCGGTTCAACATGGACCTCGCCATCGATGCTCTTGCTGAAGAAACTCCGCGGCAGGTCACCAGATTTGACCGCAGGTTGAAGAAATATGTAATGGAGACCGTCAAGGCTGGCTCCGGCTGCTCTGCGGTGCTGCGGTCGTTGGGTGATGTTCTGCCTGGGGGGTTGTCTTCCGCCCCGACGGACGCTCGCGCCGCTAGCATTCCAACGGCTGCTCAACGTGCCGCTCAGTTCCCCGGCGCGAGCAACCTGGACAAGCGTGCTGTGGGACGCCGGGTCGCCTAGGGGCAACGACGCCGGCGGAGGCGGGTGGCAGTCCCGCATTACCACGGGCCCTCTTCGTCCCGATGAACAGACGTTGATCGGGGCGTACAACACATACTTCAGCTGCGGTCGTGCGGATGGGGGTGCGCTATGCGAAGAACCGCGCTGTGCCGACTGCTGGCTGAACTCGTCCACGCTCGACGACAAGGACATCGTTTGCACACGTCTCAAGCACGGCGCTCCTCTCTGGGCAAGTAGCGGCCTTGGCCGGTGGAAAGGGGGCGATGTCAGAGCGCCGACTCGAACGGCACGCGGTGGGGATTGGTGGCTGGGCGAGGGATGTGGAGAGGACGTGGAATTTTTCAAGGAGAAGCCCTTCGACGACGATATACATGATGGACCCGCTCAGGCGTCGGGCCTTTCGTTGGCGCGTATCCTCTACTTCTTCTAGCACACAGGGAACACGCGCCAAGGATCCCACGACCGCCCGTTGACATCGTGGGTGCTGGCGTTCGACTACGTCTCCGACGGTGTTGGAAACCAACGTAGTCCCGACCCCGTCACATTGCACCCGGTCTTGATCCTGCGAGGTAGACGGCGGTGGTGTTCCCTTCAGCCGCAATCAGGCGGCATGTGCACATGTACCATCGCTGTCCAGGGTCCGAGCATCCGCCTGCCGATCGTGAATGGATGTGTGGACCTGAACGATGTGGTCGGAGCGGACGCCAAGTGTGGGGACACAAGGCGGCGTCGCCGGGAGACGGGCCGTGCGACCGCTTTCTCTTGAATTAAT